CAAACGTGCATTGTTAGGCACCATAGCACTTGAATGCAATATATGTTAGACACCATTACCGCCAGATATTCCAGACTCTGCCTCATCTCTTCAGAATCGTATCTAATATACCAGTCAGCGTATTACCATAGGACAGGATCGTCGGTAAAATGTATAGTGAGTGAGCGCTTCGTTGCTCGGTAGCCACAGAAAACGCATGATGGCGTTTAACAGCACGCAAGAAGAAAAGAGCTCGCCATTTTTCCTCTCCAAGGGCTCAACATCCCGAGGAAAGGGAATATCTAGGAACAATATTTATTCTACCATGCACCTGTATGTTGGAATCTCTTCTTTTTATTGCTATGTTACTTCCAAACATCAGCATTATATGTTGACCTGTCATACTTATGTGACTGGTGATGCATAATTGAGTCATGATCCAAATGAACGAGTCTCACTCTAAGAGAAACGTGAGGAGAAAATTCGTAAACCATAATTAAATACTCAAACCTGTGAGACGCGTCGTTTGCTAAAAGCCTATCTAGCATATGCATTCAACTCAATGCAGCCGTTCTTTATCTAAACGTTTATCGTCTATTGTGTCTCTTTTGGTCACGGGAAAGACCTTTAAAAACATCACAAAACGGCGCACAGCCGTCGAGCTCATTGGCAGGTCTTAGCAGGTGAGAATCCACACAGATGCTGAAATATCATTCGTGCGACGTAAACTGAAAGTATCAGTCTATCGTTTGAGTTGTCGTGGGGATAACCAACGCGTAAATTTTGGCCAAAAACTCAGTATCTTTAGTGATGTACCCAGATAAGCGTAAATCCGTTAGAATTTGTACATATGTGGTGGTGATTCGTAGGAATTCAGTGTTTGGTTTTATGCTTTTTAATCATAAGAGACTCACCTTATGTGTATCCGTGACACCTGCTACCGAAATGACTCCGATAAAGAATACAAGCCATAGTAGATAGAAGTCCAAGCGTTGCAACATTCCAACCAGGGAATAATTGATTTCACTGCAGAGAAAAAAATTAGAGTAAGATTGACGGAATACCAAGGAATTTAATAAAATGTGCTACAGAATGACGACGGAATAAAAGTTAGATTATCATCGAGGAAACTCATTACCGCCATTGACCGAGGTTTCATAGGATAGAGAAACTTCAAAACGCACAACCAACACTGAAATCGCTATTGTTGGCCGCCGATAAAAATGGAAACATGGTTGTAGTAATTTCCAAGACTAAATACTAAGAAAAAACTTTTCAAAGTCCTGTGGAACACAATGACGGCATGCTTGGGAAGCTATTAGGATGCAAGACAATCTTACCATAACTTGGAAATAAATCGGACTTTTCGTCCGTACTAGAACACATTTGAATGATAGCACTACCAAGGCACCAGACTCCATAAAAGCCATTGTGTTCAAAACCACACTGGTGATACTCGCCGGATCGCAACTTTGCGATAGAACTTTCAGGAGGTTATCCTTGCTTTTTACTGAACAGGCAAATAAAACTCGAGCCAGGCTATTTGCTGCACATTTTACTGGACCAACAACGTACCGGGGACTGATAACCAGCACAAAACTCACTTGGCGTGGCTAGTTACTTTGGACGTTTTTGAATGTTCAGTCGAAGCATTGGGCGATGTATTTCTGCATGGCTCTTGGCTTGCATTTTCCGCAAGCAGTCCTTGTTCCACTTGAGCTTGTTTTGCTTCACTTCTCCATTCTTCCACGTCTACTATCTCTTTTCCATGATCGACTGCGTCGCTCATTGACTGAAGCAATTCCTGTTGGTCGTTTTCCCTATTTTGTCCCTGCTCTTCTTTTTTGTGCCGGTCATCCAGGCTATCCGCTTGTTGAACCGACCGTGCTCCTTGGTCTGACGCTAGCAAAACTGTATCAGTGTGCTGCTGTCCAGGTTGTTCAGGCATGATTGTTTCCTTCTGATGTTTGCGTTCATCCGGTGTCTTCCGTTGTCGGCGATTCTGTTTTCTTAAGAAGAACCATCCGAATCGATTGAGATGTTGATTGTGATGTCTGGATGACCTTTTCGACCGCATAGCCCGTTGCTCACGCACAATGCCTCCAACGCTTTCCAAAGGCCTAGTAGATATGTGCGATTGTGTTGTTGGTTCATTGGACGCTTGTAAAATATCCGATATTCCGGGTCGTTCTAATAATTTGTTTTTCAGTTC